ACTGAATAACTAAATTTTAATTTTATTTAATTTAAATATAAAGAGCCACATGTGGTTAGTGGATACCATATTGGATAGCACAGTACTAGACTATGAACTCCATGTGGCAGGTATCACATATATTTTACTGATTGACATATCCTCAACATTTAGCACAGTTCCCTAGTGTATATTAGATACACAATCATATTTTTAAATGAAAATTAAGTTTAAAATCTGTGCACAAAATTCATGCAGAAATTATGCCCTTAAGATGCCAACACATTGGGACACTCACTCAGGTTTCTGATGACACTCACCCTCACCACCAGAAATATAGGATGATAATAAAGATGTTTATATTTACCTATTTCAGTGTATAAGGAAAAATTATTCAAAACAAACCAATTTGGTAGAGTTTTGCCTGTAAATCATCAGTCAGCCAGAGGACAACACCTCATTCCTCTTTTCATGTTTCTCAACAGGAAAAAAAATGAATTTTTAATTGATATAAAGAAGTCAAGTAAAATCAGACATTGCTTACCCTTTTTCCCCAAATATAATAGAGAACCATCTCTCTTAGTAAATGTTTATAAGTATGGCAATATTCATCACTGGATCCAAAAGAAGTGAAGATGAAGTTTAAGTGTATGTGGATAATTCCAAAAGCAACCCTTAAAAAGAGAAAAATTTGATGCATAAGTATTTTGTCTGCATGATGCCAAAGAGCTAGACTTATTCCCCCCATAAAGTAATATATATAATTTTATAGATAACTTTATTAAAAGATTTTTACATTTCACTAAGATTAAATACGGTCCAATTTAACATCAGATATAACTAGGATGGCAACTATTGGTAGCTACTTTTGTTCAAGACAGCTTGCAAAGGTACTGAAAGAAACTTTGTATATCTTTCAAAGTCAAGAAAGAATCCTGATACCTTTACCTTTGAGCAAGTTTCTATGAAATTTCCCTACTTTAATGGGCATAAAAACCACCTAGGAAACTTGCTAATAAAGCAAATTCCCAGTTGCCACTCACAGAGAAGGTCTTGGAAGGGGCCCAGGAATCTGCATTTAAGCAACTCTTATCAATTTGGTCCGTGAACTACACTTTGGTCCATGAACTACACTGTAAATGCTTCTAAGATAATTCTATTAAGGAAGCAGGGAAAACATTTACTTGATGGAATGTCTTCTTTCTCAGGAACCATGCAGAACTGGTATGCTTGGTGAATGGCACGCTTTGTGGACTGACCTGCCACATCTGTTCTATTACTCTTCTCCCACCACCATCATTTTGCAGTTTGAGGATCATTGATCCCTTACCCCCAATTCCAGATGTGAGCACTGAATTGCTAATCAGTTTTGAGCCCATTGCCATTACAAATGTAATCTAAATTAGTCCTATCAGAATGAAATCCAAGATTTTTGTTTGGTTGGGAGAAAGACAGTCTACCTCTCTCATGCTCTCTCTCAATATATAGGAGAAAAAATGAACTGTTGGAGCCATCTTGCAACCATGTGTGAAATCAGACTCAGGATAAAACTGGCACCATGAACAAAAGGCAGAGCAAGGGGACAGAGCCTTTAGAAGCATTGCTGAGCTAGATCAACCCAATCTTGAAGCCTGCACTACCTCTAGACTACTCAGTTATGTAAGTCAATAAATTCTCCCATTGTTTTAAACAGTTTAAGTTTTTTATTTGAAACATTAAAAGACCTAATTGATACAGGCTGCCATTTTTTATTTTATACCCCCATTTTCCTTTCTTGGCTTTGTTCTCTGTATCTCCAAGATGTTTTGCATTCCTTCTCCAGTACTGCTGTGAACATTATGTAAGGGCATGGCTGAATGATGAAGTTCTTAGTACTCATTCACCCACTCTGTACCCTTGTCACTAATACTCTTGCTATTCCTCTTCTTCCCCTGCCACCTTCTCATCTCACTAAAACTGAGCCATCAGATATACAAGTACTCTACCTCCTGACAAAAGAGAGCTATTAAAAACCTTTGGCTGATTTAATGAAGTCCACATCTTTACAAGAAACTGCCTTTCCAAAGGCTTGATGAATGCATTGGCTCCCTCTCAGAACCCTCTGTGCACTTTTATTCTGGCTGCTCTAGGATTTTAGGTGCATTTCAAAAGCATTTAGGTATTCTTCACCCTTTAGTTCTTTCATGCAATATCTTTTCATATTTTGTCTTGTCACAGTAGAAAAAGATGAAGATGCAGAGGAAACCACAGTGGACGTCCAACAGAAGTCAGACGGCCCCTTGCAGGGGCTGCAGGCAGTTGAATAGAAGAGCCCACCAAAGAAAAACCCCAGGCTGCCAATCCATCTGTGCAAGAAGTAGCAACTGTGGGGTTCTCTGCTCTGAAGGCAGAAAGTAGAAAAATCCACCCTCCTTTTCCCCCCTTCACTTAAGGAGATGAGAGTATATGAAATTTTTTAAAAAATCAATAGTAGAAACAGAATCCAGGAAGTTTGCAAGGTAGAAAGAAAAAAAGTCAAATAGAAATTTAACGCATACCCCCCTTCTACTCTCCCCCCGCCCCTCCAGCTTTGGAAATAAAGATAGGAGAAACTTTGCTGAAAACCTCCTTCTAATTACTTCATGGGCCAAAGAGGGATGGAAACCACTAAGGACTACAGAACATTTGCATTAATCTCCTGTTTCCTAAGGAACGACCAAAGAAATCAAGTGTTCATCTGGAGAAATGTTATCACCAAACTTATTTGTCTGTCTATTTATTTAGTTGTTGCTGTCTGCTTTATCACTTATATAATGTTAACATTCTTTTAAAATGGGCAGATGGACTTCATTCAAGTTCTGACAGTAACTCTTTGTTATTGGTACAAATGGCTTCAGAGGTATTTAATTACCATTAGTAGTCATCCGTTTGCTCCTAGCTGGTGACATTTGGAATAGTAAGCAGGCAGAATTCTTTGTGTCCAGTGAGTTCATAGAAAGTTAAACCTACTTTTGACAACAGACTCAAGCTTAGCTACCATTAACCCCCCTCTTCAGTTACTGGATGATGTGTTTGAACAGTATGAATGATTAATGAAGGTTAAATAGTCCAGGTTCTATCTTAAAACCTTTTTGTTAACTGCCAGATAGCTGAGTGACTGGCAAGGTGAGTTGAGCTCAAGTAAGTAATCCTGCAATCTGTTGCTTGTACTCTAAAACAAACAAACAAACAAAACATTAACCTGTCGATTATTTTGGAGAGATGTAATACCTAAGAAACTCTCACCCTTATCCTCTACCCTTTCACAGGCCAATACCAGGAACCAGGAATTTTTGCCGGCTTGGCATCAGAAAGCAAATTTTGCTTGTTATGTCCAAGTGCACAACTGTTTCCTCTCAAGGAAACCAAGATAAAAGGTTGTCAGCTGGTATCAACTCATCACAAAGCTCCTAAAAGTAGCCTGTGAATTTTTCTGCAGCAAATTCTAGGATTGTTCTTAGGGAAAGGGCAACATATCATCCATTAAGTTGAGGAAACCACTTATGTCCGATACCTTGTTAGAGACAGGTAGGTGTATAAAGATGCTCAGGGCATTCGCTGTTTGATCTGTAAGAGGCATCCCTACTGCTACCTCCTCCAGAGACATCGCTTACAAAAGAGATTATGGAAGAGGCCAGACAGAGCTGGAAGCTAAAAGGAGGCTGAGACTGAAAATGCGTGCAGAGGACCACAAAAGTGAAGATGACCATTGACTTCAAGAGAGGAAATTACACAGGACAAGGAAGCAGGATCTGTAAGAAGATAACACAGCCTGGGAACACAGTTAAAGCATATCTTTATACACATTTTCAGAGATTTCTTTGGCTTTGCCTTAAATGTTCTCTTCTTCACCTGTATAACTTTATGGCATTTAGGGCCTTACTTATGACATACCTGATCACCCAAGCAGCCCACACCTTGAAATCCTTCGCAAGTGACACAGACACACCTATCCAACAACATTTGCTAAAACAAACAAACAAGATCCTGTTATTTCTTAGTTGATGGTCTACTTGGCATGTATCCCTAATAGTTTAGAAGCTGTTTGTTTCCAAACAAAGTGCCTTGAGGTATTTTGATTATTTCACACCACTCATTTTGTGATGTGCTTTATCCATCATTTTCATCAGTTATGTATTGATACAGCCTGGGCATCTCCTTCCAAAGAGAAGAAAGTGAAGTGAGATCAGAACTAGTGTTTTCTAAAAAGAATTCACAGGTCCACCTCATCCAATTATTGTTTCAATAAACATTCTGGGGACCCTTATCATGTACCAGACAGTGTAGTAGGCACTAGGGATACAGAGATGCTGATACACAGCCTTTGCCCACAAGTATTGCACTGTCTATTTAGAGAGACAGAGAAGTCAGGGTACTGCAATACAGAGGATGATGGGGGAGGGATTTTTTAAGCCAGCCTAGAATGGGGACTGTGGGTTTGAAGAAGGCTTTCCAGAGAAACCGATATTAAGCTGGGTTGTGCAGTGTGGCCCAGCCCTGGATTTCAGGGACGCATAGGCTGCACTCATTTACCTGGGACACAGTCTTACCTGGAGGCCCCTGCTCTGTATCTGACACAGGGATGGGTTGTCAGAGGAAACCAGGACCCACAGTGATGCCCAGGGCCCAAAGAAACATGATTCTGATGTTATATTATCCTCAAATTCCAAGTGTGACACCAGTGGAAACAGTTGAATGAACAGGATAAACAAAATGCAAGAGATAAAGATGGAGGGAAGGAAGGAAGGAAGGAAGGAATAAAAACTGTCACTCTGAAAGGAGTGAAGTGAAAAGAAAAACTACACCACCCAGATGACCTCAAACATCAATTTTGAGCAGAGCTTGTACATGTTAATAACGCTTGACACAGCTCAGGGCATGCAGACAGAGCCCAGGAGCAGCACATTGTAAATGTGTGGTGGGTTAGAAAGAGGATTTTGCAGCACCAGCAAATCATATAAATTCTGATGCAGGCCTGATTAGCCTGCAGTGTGGGAATCTTCACCCCAGCGGATTTGTGGCTGACTGGGACAGCTCATAAGGTAAGCTGGAGGGAAGGAATTCCCTGGGGCCAATCCTCTTAAACCTGACAACCACTTACTGGAGATGGAGGCAGGAGGCAGAGGAACAGGCAGGCTGTCTGCGAAGTGGAGGGGAGGGCCTGTGGGCCACCCAGAAAGTAGACAGGGCACACCCGTTTCAGCACACTGAGGACCTGTAATTGGACAATTTCGCTCTTGGCAGAGGCCTTTGTCTCAACGGCTTCTTTTCTAGAGGCTTCAGTATTAGCTCTTACAATGACTAAGGATCTCACTAGAAAGAATAAACCCTTTGAAAATGAAAGGAAGCTTACATTTGGATGCAAAAGTTTACCCAATACTAGTAACCTTAGTTTGGGGTTGGATTATGAAAAGGAAAACGTTCTGGTGGGAACAAGGGAGTGGGTTATGACTAGGATGGGCCAGTGCTCAGAAATCCTGCAAGTGAGGCAGCGAGCAAGCCTCAGAAAGAGGAGTTCCCCTGGGTGACTCACAGGGGAGAGCCTGAGCAGGGCAGCACGTCCAGCTCTGTGTCCCAGTGCCTGATGGGAGCCTGGATGGATGGAGTCAGCCTGCATTCCACTCCTTTTTCCATCTCACTGCCTGCATGACTTTCAGAAAATTATTTGTCCACGCCCGGCTGGCATGGCTCAGTGGTTAACCATCGACCTATGAACCAGGAGGTCACGGTCCCAATTCCCAGTCAGGGCACATGCCCAGGTTGTGGGCTCAATCCCCAGTGGGGGGCATGCAGGAGGCAGCAGATCAATGATTCTCTCTCATCATGGATGTTTCTATCTCTCTCTCCCTTCCTCTTTGAAATCAATAAAAAATAACTTTTTTAAAAAAGGAAACTATTTGTTCTTTTCTGGGCCCCAATTTCCACATATGCAAAATGGGCAAAGGAAGAAAATATCTACCTCATGCCTTTGTGAGATAATCCACTCCATGTGCTGGGGCTGCAAGTATTGTGTAAGTGCCCAAGAAGGAAGCTAATAATATTGCCAAACCTTAGAGCCCTCCTGCGACATCGGCACTGTGACCTCTGACAAGCAGACGAGGAAGACAAAAGTGAGGGGTCTGGATAAATTACCAGAGGTCACGGAGCCAGCCAATGGCAGAGTCAGAATTTGCACCCAGGTAAATTACTATGCTGTATCTATTCTCTTCCATTAATCTCTCGCTACATGCACTGGTTTTTTTTTTCTCCAGTTGGTCCTCTTGCTTTCAAATAGAAACATATTTATGTATACTCTTATTTCCCAGAAATTCTGCTTTGGTCTACAACCTTAAGGATCTGTAGTGTGAGGCAACTCTAACGTTTCTCATTTTTTCCTGTGAACATGCCCAGAGCGCCTCCGTAGCAGCGCCTGGGAGTATGTACCCACTTTACTTAAAAGAGCTGCAATAACCTGGATCAGTCTTGGCAAGGGTCAGGGACCCACAAAACTGGTTTTCAAGGAACCAATCCTAAATAAGGGTACTGTTATTTACTCCACAATCTGGGCAGTGCACACAGACCATGGAATGTGCAGACAGGAAGGGATGGCAAGGCATGTTTCCGGCTTGGCCAACTTTTACTCCTTTCTGCAAAGTCGGACCCACTCCAAAGGCTGTTACCTTCTGTGAGGAGAGCTAAGGACCAGAGAGAATACATTCATCAGAATCACCCAAAACAAAGGGCTGCCTCTGCCTTAAGTCCCTTAAGCTTCTCAGAGGAAAGGTGTCATTAGAGGTGAAACAGCTGGTATTAAGCCTGGGGCCCAGCACAATCACTGCAAACACGCTCATCACTTTCCTGCTCAACTGTCCTTTGCTGTTTTGTTCTAAGACACTATTTACTCACGTGCCTTGGACAATTTCAGCTCACCCAGGAACTCTCTCAGGCAGCAATGTTTTGTTTTGTTTCTAATTCAACCTCGGTTTTGTTGAAAGGGCATAAAATTTGTATCTGAGAAGATGTTTGGGGCTGCAAAAGAAAAAGTAGCCTAAGCAAAAAGGAAAAATATATTCTTTCACATCACAAGAGACTGGGGCTAGGGCTGCCCTAGGCCAGAGAATTCAACAATTCAAAGATACCATCAGAGACCCAGGTACTTTTCATCTTTTCTCCCTCTAAATATCAGCAGGTCAGTTATATCTCTGTTGATTACAGGTGGCAACAGTATCCAAAAGCCAAAGAGTGTCTTTCTTCCATGGACCTACTTTTAAGAACAAGAAGAATCTTTCCAGAAGCCTCCAGAGCAGACACTGCCCTTCATGTTTCATTGGCCAGGCTGGGTCATGGTCTACTCTTAAACCCATCACTGGCAAGAAGTCCCTACACTAGTCAAGGTTGACTGCCTGGGACTGGTAAGCAGGCCAGAGTGGCAATGGATGTTGACTAGCACACCAACAATGTCCTTGTGATATTTGAAGTCATACAGAGCTGGGTTTGCATCCAGGCTCACCATTTACAAACCTAGACAATTTTACCTCTTGAAATTTTAGTATCCTCACTTGGAAAATAGGGTTAAGAATATCTACTGCAAAGGTGATTGATGAGGGTTAAACAAGGCATATTTGTGAAAGGTATAACACAGTGTGTGGCACATAATAGTTCCTTAATGCCTGTTGGTTTTTCCCGTTTCCCTTTTGCTTCCCTTTTGGATAGCTTTCAGCGTATGTGTTCCCATTAGAACTAGAGGACTTTCTCTTGATCTCTTCATGTCTGCAGCAAGTTCTCCTGCCTCTTCTAGTGATTTCTGGTTCCACAACGTTATTAACAATGCTTTTAAGAATGTGATTATTACTTGTCATTAATACTACTGTTGGAGTAATTGATAAATGTATAGTATAAAATGATGTTGACCCAAAGTTCATATATGTTGTTATATTTGACCCTGATAATGTGGTCAATTGGGGTTGCTACAATTAAAGGTAATGAACCAATTTATTTCCTTGTAATTTGTTATGTTTAATAAGAATCTTCCATGCACTTTGTCCAGTAAATATACCCACACATTAATTTGATCAACTGCCAGAAAGTGTTTAATGAGGCCTTTGTTGCATGGTTTACGTTGCCCCTTTGCTCTATTTACCATTTGTGGAGAAATTGAAGAAAGGAAAATTCATATATTTTTGTCGCTGGAGAAGTTCTTCTGCTGCCTTGAGAAAGAGACAAGTATTCTGTTTGCATAACAGAACACAAAAAGGGCTAATGAGGATGCATTGGTTTCAATCATTATTAAGAGAAACATTTCTTTTTTAAAAATCAAAGGTAATCTCTAATATGCATGAGTTGTAACTGCTCTTAGGTAAATGCTACAGAAAATATTTATTTTGCATTAAAGCAAAGCTGCTGATCTTTTTCTTAAGTTTTCATGTTATTTCCAAACGGTTCTTTATCAGCCAGCCATTTACTGAAAACCCACTATGTGCTCCAGCATGCTACATGAAGCGGAGGACACAAAAGTCAGGGAGCCCTGGGCCTGGCTCTTGAGTGTGACAGTCCAGTTGGACAGAGAAGACACACGCAATCGGCTTGGACAATGCAGAACAGTAACGTGGAGTGGCAGGAGAACTGAAATGGCTTCTGGAACTGTCACAGCTAGTTGGTGGCCTTAGGCAAACAACCTATCTTCTTGGGGTCTCTGTTTCCCTCCTTAGTAAAATGAGTGGCTTTAACCAGGCAATGCTTAAAGGTGGTCAGATTCTAAAATTCTGTGGTTATCAAAGTGGTCCAAAAGATCACTAAGAGTTGGAATAGTCAGCAAAGTTTGGCCAAGATGAACTAGACTGGAGGTAGTTTTGATGGGACTCTGTGGATGGAATCTGGGAGAGGGGACGCACATTCAGGGCAGCAGGAATTAGAAGGAATAAGCAATGATTCTGGGGCCATGAGTGTCATCCTAGCTGGAGTGAGAGAACGTGCTAGACAATCACCACAGGAAATCCAACTGATCAATGAGTGTGGAGCCAGACACAAGGCTGAGCTAGTTAGCCTTGATGTTAATAGTTCATAGTAGGCTTCACTCTCATATCTCTTTTTTTTTATTTTCATCCATTTTCTTTCCCTCCTTTTCTTTCTCTCCTACCTCTTCTTTCTACTTCTTCTCTATCTTGATATTTTTCTTGCTCATCTCCTTGTCTTCTTTTTTATGTTTCCTCTTTCTATTATATTGGTGTTTACGGTTTGCAAAGCACTTCTTCCTCCATGATGCTTTCTAATAAGTAAACAGCTCATACCATTCTCAGACTTCTCAGAATTCAGACACGGGAGCTAGAAAACCTGGAGGGTTTGAGTTCCTGGTTATGCCATTTTCCAGCTGCCTGGTCTAAGACAAGTTCTATTCTCTGTACTTTAATGTTCTTTCCTCACAAACAAAGGTAGTAATGATACCACTTCACAGAGTTGTAAGAATTAAATGAATAACTAAAGCACTTATAACATTGCAGGGCACTTGGTGGATTCTAGGTGTTAACTATTATTTGGAAAAGACCTCTCAGGTCATTTTCTCATCTGCCTAAATGGGTCATAATGTGCATGGTCTTCTAAGTGTCCGTGCCTAACATCCACCTATTGGCCACTTTTACTTGAGCGAGTTGGAGCACCAGCTGAGTTAATCATTTAAATGTACTAATCAACATTTCGAGAACATTTTTAAAGTCTGAACAAGGCCATGGCCTGAAGTTCCAGCCATTTTCATTAGTTTCACATTCTCGGCCCCATGATCCAGAAATCTCTAATTGCACTGTGGCAGCCTCCTGCTCCCTGTCACAGATCTGACTCTACCTGCTACTATTTAAAGTTTATGAATCATGCTCCCTCTGTTTGAACTCCTGAAGCCTCTGAAACGAAATGAGTAATCATTAAGATGCGATTGTAGAAGATGCTGTAAAACGATTATTTTTCCTTTTTGTATGAACCTGTGCTTTTTTTTCCAGTTGTCTCCACGAGCCTGAAGCAAATGTCAGCTATTCCTACAAGGAACAGAGAAGAAGATTCTTAGAATCAAGAAGCCTGACATCTGATAAGCAAGCACTTCCTCCTTTAAAAGGTGGTGGAAGTGTGCTATGGCAGCCTTGAGGTTTACCTTAGTGCCCTGCCCCATACATTGCCTCAGTGGGGGGGCCCTGGCATGAATGTCAATGAGGAAATAGCTAGTGCTGGGAGTCCCCAGGAACACAGTGAGGCTGGTCCTCAATGCAAAAGCTTCATGTTCTTAGTAATGAGCTTTTCCCTTCAATGTCCTGGGCATATTCTGATTCTTTCCACTTGGATAAATAATAGGTCTAATTCTATAGGCTATAGAGCCATTAGACTTCAGACATTAAAAAATGAAAAAACGTTGAAATAAAAGCAGATCAGTTTTGATCGTCTTTAATTTTTTCTCCTGTTTTATTTACCATTGCATTTTTAAATTTCAGAGAGGGACAATCCACTCCCTACTTCCAACATTCTTTCCTCTCTTAATGTCTACAGTACTAATTTCTTATTCGTTCATTCATTTATTTATTCAAAATTAAAAAGGTGCTTAAAAAATACAAGCTTACCATGCTCTCCTTTGCCCCATACAAAACAACATGTAAAGGTAAAACAGAAAATAAAACACACAACCCTCTTATTCATTTTTCACTGCTTTTAAGATTATCCAAAGTTCTTGGCCTAACATATTGAGCCCTTCACACTTCCACCATAGTCCACCTTTCCAGCCTCATTTATCAGCACCTCCACTATGCCCCCCTTATGCCACAGTGGTCATTTCCTCACCGGTTCTGAGAAGTACCAGGAACTTGCAGGTCATTGCACATTTGTTCACACATTCCAGCTTCTTCTTCAAATCTTCTTTGCCTATATCCCCCTGCCTATTACTTTACCACCAACTTTTTCTGACTTCCTAGGCACTTCTATGTGTATATGCTCATGTCAATATTTTTAACTCTCTTGTTTTATTATGAATGATCCATTCACATATCTATCTATCCCTCTAGGATGGCAAGTCCCTGAAGGTTGGGATCACCTCTTAGTCACCTTTGTACCCAAAATGCTGTGCATAGAGCTTGGAATATAGCAAGTTCTTATTAGATGCTTGCTGCATAAATGGGTGGGTAGATGGATGGATGGATGGATGGATGGATGGATGGATGGATGGACAAATAAATGAATGAATGCATAAATGAATGAATGAATTGTAAAGTAATGAATTAATGGTTTCTATTGCTTCTTTGGTAGGGAAGGAATTAAAGTATAAAATTTTAACCTTATGTATATGTCTGGATTCTTTCTGCTGCAGATGAGAAGAGATCTAACTCAAGCTAGCCTAAGCAAATATCTGGTTCACATGGTTGAGAAATTCAGGAGTGGAGCTGGGCTCAGAGACTGCAGGGGACTCAGAAGGTGCCATAAGCTCTTTTTTCCTCACATACTACCATGCACACACTCGCTCTCTTGTCTCTTCATCTCTTGTCTATGTTTCCCCGCCCCCTTTCTCTTGATTATTGGCCTCATTTTCTCTTGTACCTGCTAAGCATCCTTCTACCACTGGAACCAGAGAGGCTGGGCAGCCTCGGAATTGTATCATTGCTTCTTTTCCTAGGATTTATCTATAAAAACCCAATGAAGGATTCTAATTCACTATCCAATATAACCAGCACAATGGGATACTCTGATGGGCCAGACCTGGAACATTTTCTCAGAGTGTTTAGCCTGGGGAAGAAGGAGTAGTGGCCTTTGATAAATAGTCCCACAGAAACCTATGCAAAGAGGGCAAGACAACTTACTCAGAGAGCAGTGATATCCTTTTATAAAGGGGGAAGCAATGCTGAGAAGGTAAAAGAACAGATTTCTACCACACCCTGGAGTTTCTTCACACATGTAAGCTGCAACTTAACACACTTCAAAATGTGGTGATGGCTTTTAATATTTAAAAGATAGGCATTTAAGTATTTACCAAGTTACATATAAATAAAAATAAGAAAAAGGCTTAAGCATTAAAAAACCTTTTTCACTGTTGCTTTTGCTTTTGAAGATTGTACATTTGAATCCATGCCTTTGTTTTAGAATACCTCAAATAGAAGTGTCAAAATGAGAATTTCTCCTGAATTTTGTTTACCTCATCAGAAATTAAGTAGATTCAGGAGTTTATCCCTCTGAATTTCAGACTTATGTTCATCTGTGGATGTTATTGGAACATCTGAAATCAGAGCTGCTCCATAGTTCTCTCTCAAACTTGGCAAATTAAAAATCTCATCTTCAAATGCATTTTCTCAACTTAATTCTCCCATGCTAAATGCTTGGTGGCCCTTCTATTTGTCCATTTTTGGCAGAACACTGCATGGTCTATTTGCCAGAAAAATTTATTTTGAAGACCTAGGTTGTTGCTATTCCAAAGGCAAGGGATCCCTGGATCAAAATGGAACCACAAGTTCCATTTGGCATTACTCAATCCACCTTATCAGCAGAGGCCAGGGATGTTTTTCTCTAAAATCAGGGCTTTCATCAAGACCACAGAGCACAAGTGAATCCTGAAATCTGCATTTGCAACATTTGTGATCTAGAAACCAGCCCCAGGTAGGCAGGAAGACTGACTCTTTCCATTGCTCCAAAACCCTCTGCTCGGTAACTTCCTAATCTCCCATGACATGTCTTGAAAATGGATAGCAGTTGCTGTACTTTAATTATTCACACTTAAATTGCATCTTCCAAATTAGACCCCAAGTTACTTTAGGGCAGAAACATACCATGTTTTTCTATGTCCTGCACAATGGTCATGGATCCTCAGAAAATACTTATTGAATAACTTAGATCTTTTCACATCTTTTCAATTCTATTAACCCACATAAGACAACCAAAGAGCAAAACTATGGGAGAACAAATCCAGTCTATGTTCTTTATTCCAGGACCCTTAAGTGTAGCAAACATGGTTCCAGACTAATAAATAC